GCGAGAAGAGTTTCCAAGAGTTGAAAGATAGGTTTACTTCCGTGCCGATTTTGACTTTACTGGAAGGGACGAATGGTGTTGTTGTTTATTGTGACGCCTCTAGAATTGGTTTGGGATGTGTGCTTATGAAATATGGGAAGATCATTGCCTATGCTTCAAGACAACTTAAGATTCATGAGAAGAGCTATCCTACCCATGACCTTGAAGTAGCGGCGGTTGTTTTTGCCTTAAAGATTTGGAGGCATTATTTGTATGGTGTTCATGTTGATGTTTTTACCAACTATAAGAGTTTGCAATATCTATTTAACCAAAAGGATATAAATCTTTGCCAAAGGAGGTGGCTTGAGTTATTGAAAGATTATGACATAAGTTTTCTCTATCACCCCGGCAAGGTGAACGTGGTGGTAGATGCTCTTAGTCGGTTATCTATGGGTAGTGTTGCTCATGTTGAAGATGATAGAAAAGAGTTGGTTTGAGATGTTCATAGATTGGCCCGGTTGGGAGTTCAGTTAGTAGACTCTATCAAGGGTGGTGTTATGGTTCACAATGGTTCAAAATCATCTTTTGTGGCGGATGTGAAAGCCAAACAAGGTCTTGATCCAATTTTGGTTGACTTAAAATAAGCGGTGCTTAAGAAATCCATTGCGGCTTTCTCCCATGGAGGATATGGTGTTCTTAGATATCAAGGTCATTTGTGTGTTCCTAATGCTGATGACTTGAGGGAACAGATCTTGTCAGAAGCCCACAGTTCTCGATATTCCATTCACCCGGGAGACAACAAGATGTACCGTGATTTGGGGGAGATTTATTGGTGGAATGGGATGAAGAAGGATTTTGCAGAGTTTATGGCCAAGTGTCCTAATTGCCAACAAGTGAAAGTTGAGCACCAGAAACCGAGAGGTTCATCCCAAGATATTAGTATTCCTACTTGGAAGTGGGAATATTGAATATGGACTTCATAGTAGGGTTGCCACGTACTCAGCGACAACATGACTCGATTTGGGTTATAGTAAATTAGATGACGAAATTGGCTCATTTTATTACCGTCAAAGTTTCCTATTCGGCGGAATATTATGCCATGTTGTACTTGAGAGAAATGGAAAGGTTGCATGGAGTACCTTTGTCTATTATTTCCGATCGTGGTACTCAATTCACTTCTCAATTTTGGAAGTCTTTCCAAAAAGGTCTTGGTACTCGTGTTAAGCTTAGTACGACCTTTCATCCCCAAACTGATGGGCAAGCGGAGCGTACTATCCAAACTTTGGAAGATATGTTGAGAGCTTGTGTGATTGATTTTAAGGGTAATTGGGATGACCATTTGCCATTGATTAAATTTGCCTATAACAATAGCTATCACTCAAGTATTGGTATGGCTCCATTTGAGGCATTGTATGGTAGGAGGTGTAGATCTCCTATTGGTTGTTTTGAGGTGGGTGAAGTTGCCCTAATAGGTCTCGAATTGGTACATGAGGCTATAGAGAAAGTTTGACTTATTAGGGAAAGGTTGAAAAATGGCTCAAAGTCGACAAAAGTCATATGCCGATGTTAGAAGAAGAGATCTTGAGTTTGATGCTCATTATTGGGTTTACTTGAAAATTTCACCTATGAATAGTGTAATGAGGTTTGGTAAGAAAGGGAAGCTCAGTCCCTGTTTTATAGGCCCATATGAGATTTTGAGACGTGTTGATATGGTTGCTTATGAACTTGATTTTCCTAATGAGTTGGCATCGGTGCATCCGGTTATCGATGTCTCCATGTTGAAGAAATGTGTTGGTGATCCGACATCCATAGTTCCTTTAGAAGGTTTGGGAGTTAATGAGAATCTTTCTTATGAAGAAGTTCCAGTTGAGATTTTAGACCAACAAGTCAAGAAGTTGAGAATCAAGGAATTCGCTTCCGTAAAAGTGTTATGGAGGAATCATTTAGTTGAGGGTGCTACTTGGGAGGCCGAGGCCGATATGATGTCCCGATATCCTCATCTTTTTCCTTCTACTCCTACCTAGCCTGATGTATTGAGTTCCTCATGGTTTGCTATTTTTGTTTCATGTGTGTTTTAGCTATTCCCATGATTTTCTTATTTTATGCATGTTCGTGAAAAACTTGTGTTTCGAAAGAAAATGAGTTTATGTGATTGATTTTCCTCATGTTGTTATGCATTGAGTATGAGTTGTCTATGCACTTCATGAGATGAATTGTTGAACATGCTTTAGCTTGGAGTTGATATTTCCACCTTGGATATATGCTTTTGAGTATAGATTGCATATAGGCTCCGTGAGATTGTGTTGAGCATGCTTCTAGCTTAGAGAATGTAGTTCCTCCTTAAATATGTGAAATCTTGAAATTTCATGTTTTTTGGGTTACTAAGACTAGTTCCTACCTTCCTTATGATGCATTGAGTATGTTTAGCTTGGAGTCGATGTTCCCTCCTTGGTTATGTGCATTTTGATGAGATTGCATGCATGATGGGCTGCTAGTATTGAGTCTTTCCTTTTAAAGATGTCTAGAATCTCATTCGAGGAGGAATGTCACCAAAGGGGAGATAATGTAACACCTCAGGTTCGAGATGAGGGCATAATAGCATGTTAGAACTTCAAGGTGCTATCCCACAAAGGCCAACCACGGCCCGTGGATGGGACCACAGACCGTAGGTGGATCCTTGGATAGGCATCACGAAAATTGTCAGGGTAAGAACCACGACCAAGACCCACGAACCATCGATGGGACCACGGCTCGTGGCTAGAGAACCGTAGGTCAGGCACAATTTCTCTAGATCTAGTGACGATTGAGCAGGAGGAACTGTTGGTCAGTCCATGGTCCGTTAGTGGGGTCTCATGGGTCGTGGCTGACAGTTATTTGTAGGGGTAGTTGGGTCTTTTTCTAATTAAATTATCTCTATACTACGTCGTTTTACCTATATCTAATACCCTTATATAAGCATTTAAACCCCCAAATTCAACCCATTCAACTCATTCTTCAAAAATCACAAAAGAATATCAATCTACTCTCCAAATATTTCTCTCTCTAGAAACTTGAAGAAGAAGAAGAAGGGTTCAACCTACGGTTTCAAGGCAAGCCTCCATTTTAACCATTGAAGATAAGCATTTGGACTTGAGGTATGATTGTTTTCATCCATGGAGTTCCAAAATTCTCCTATTTTCAAAGGTAGAAATCCCCAATTAAGTTAGGGTTTTCTTCAATTGCCATGGGTTCTCTTGATTATTGATCTAAATGATTGAATTATGATCCCTTATGCATGAATTGATGAAATACTATGATTTTATCACGTTTCTCCCATGAACCCATGTAATCCCCATGTTTTCCAAATTATGATCATATGATGTGGTCTTTGGTTATGAAAGAGGAGTTTTATGAAATTAAAGAATGAAGTGATAGAATCACATGAATTTATGATGAAATCCATATCTAATCCTTGATTTCTAGATATGGTGATTGAAAGTAGGTTTTGAACCTTGAAAGGTAAATCATGAGATTATGCATGTTCTTATGAAACCTATGTAAATGTTTTAAGGATGCTTTGAGAGCAAAGTATCAATGATGATGTTGTTGTTGTGTTGTTGAAAAGATATTCTCATAAACACATGCAAACATGATTGTGAAAGGTTTTCTCACATAATAAGGATTCTAAGGTTGAAAGGTCTTCTCACCTAATTGAACCATAGATAAGGAGCTACCTAATGAAACCTAGCTTGGATTGGATACTTAATTGTAACTTTCCATGGATGTCTTATGACTTAGCTTGGATTGGCATGATGACGTGCCCTTCCATGGATAATGAGAATAAGTAAGAAATGACTATTTCGTGGGATTTATACTTAGCACCGAGAGGATATTGAGATGGAAGCTCTCCCGTTAGTAGAGGCTGGGTTTCTAGAACCAATTTCCTTATTCCTTACCTATGAGCCCCCATAAGATGATTGTCTAGATAGACATTAGCTTGTGGATCCACTTACGCTAGAAATTCATGGTCCTTACCTTGGCAAATAGAACAACCCTTTTCGGTGTGGGAGACACCGGGGGATCATGTTATAGATCACATGATCTCTATGTCAGTTAAGTCTACTTCCCACATTAATAATGAACTAAGGTTACTTTAAGGAGTATCTCATATGTGTTCAAAAGTTTTAAAGATGTTAGCTTGCATTGACCATGTTTTATGAAGTATTATTTTCTAACATTCTTACATCATGTTTTATCTTGGTCAATTGCATGTCATGAAATGTCTTGTTTTAGCATGATTTAAATGTTTTATGCATGGCTATCGTACTTGGTACATTATTTTGTACTAACGCTTACTCTTGCATACATTTTTCCCAAATGTAGGGTATGATATTCAGGGTTCCCAGTTTCGTGGCTAGAGGTTGACTTGGTTGATTTCCGAGCTTTGTGAGTCCTCATGTTTTGAGGATGGATTTCATTGTTCTTAGTTTGCTTCTTATTTTAGTTTTGGACATGATGTATGGGCTAGGACCAATCTCATTATATTGTATTAGATGACTATTGAGATAAAGTGTTTTAGACTTCCGCTTTGTTTATAAAATGTTTGGACTTGAAATGTTGTCTTTACTTCGATTGTTCTATTTCTTTTGTTATGAATGCTAAGTGGCTTGTATGGGGACTCTCGGGGTCCTATACGCCATGTTACATCTAGGGTGTACCCCTGGGTCGTGACATCAAGGTTTTCAACTCACCAAGATTCGACGAACAGGTCCTACAATTCATAGGAATTCCTATGACCACCCATCCGTAGGACCCTCTGCACATACACATTTTTCTTTCTATCCTGCACATGTAACAAACATTAGGCCTTCATTTTACATTTCTTGACACTTTTTGTACACGAACCCTAAATTAACCTATTCTAGCTAAAATTCAAACTTAAGAACATAGAAAACTCTCAAAACTAGCTAAATTACATCTTTGGTTGCCTCCCAAGCAACACTTGATTTAACATCGTGGAACGACGCAGACTCCTTGATTACTTAGACTTCATCAAGATTCCATTCTTCAATCACCTCTTTGACTTCCTCCGGTTGCCCCAAGTAGATTTTTATCCTCTGGCCATTCACCTTAAACCTTTTTCCTTCCTCATTTTCAAGTTCAACCACTCCGTGTGAAAATACTTGCACCACTCTAAATAGTCCGATCCACTTTGATTTGAGTTTGCTAGGAAACAAGCGCAACCTTGAATTGAATAGAAAGACCAAATCATCGGGAGCAGATTCACGCTTTTTGATCTTTTGATCATGGTACTTCTTCATCTTTTCTTTATACAAGGCTGGAATTTCATATGCTTTTAAGTGAAACTCATCAAGTCCATTCAACTCATTCAACCTCTGATTTGACACAACACCCCAATCTAGATTCAATTTCTTGAGTGCCCACATAGATTTATGTTCTAGCTCTACAGGCAAGTGACAAGGCTTCCCAAATACAAGTTGGTAAGGAGACATACCTATGGGAGTCTTGAATGTAGTATGATAGCCCGCAGAGCTTCATCAAGTTTTCTTGACTAATTAATTATGTTCACATTCACAGTTGTTGCAAGGATTTGCTTTATTTCTCTGTTGGACACTTCAACTTGCCCACTAGACTGCAGATGATAAGGAGTTGCTACAATGTGTCTAAAACTATACTTCTCATGCAACACCTTGAACAACTTATTGAAAAAGTGAGAACCTCCATTGCTGATATCTCCCTTGGTGTACCAAATATAGAGAAGATATTTTTTTCCAGGAATGCGGTGACACTGTTTCCTTCATTGTTTGAAAGTGCAACAACTTCCACCCATTTAGATATATTGTCAACCGCCACAAGTATGTAATTCATCCCATTCGAACTCACAAATGGAACTATAAAGTCAAGGCCCCAAACATCGAGCAGTTCAATCACCAAAATAGGAGTAAGTGGGAGTTCTTGCTTCATTGAAGTACCTCATTCTCTGTGAGAACGATCACAAGACTTGGCGAAATCATGAGCATCTTGGTGAATAGTAGGCTAATAATACCCACACCACAAGATCTTATGAGCAGTCTAGATACCACTATGATGACCACCAACAAGAGACGAATGAAAACCGTCCAATATATTCATCATCTCAACCTCAGGAACACAACGACGAATAATCCCATCGGCGTAGACACGAAGCAAATAAGACTCCTCCCAGAAAAACTTCTTCACATCAGACATGCATTTTCTTCTTTGGTGAAACGACAGATCTAAAGGCACCACATCACTCGCCAAATAATTAGCGAAATCTGTGAATCAAGGGATAAGATAAAAAGATGTAGCCAAAACTTGTTCATCTGGAAACATATCATCAATTTCAACTCCGTTAGCTAACTTCAATATTGCTTCTTCCTCTAATCTGGACAAATGATCATCAACTTGATTTTCTGTCCCTTTTCTATCTTTTACCTCAGAATTGAATTCTTGCAATAATAATACCCATCAAATCAGTCTCGGTTTTACATCCTTCTTTGCCATAAGATACCTCAACGCTGCATGATCAGTGTGCACAATGACTTTAGTGCCAATCAAATGTGATCTAAATTTTTCGAACATGAAGATTACAACAAGCAATTCTTATTCATCACACTCAGAAGTAACTTCAAGTACAGTTAGTGCTCAATACCATAGGCTTGCCCTTATTTTCATTGCTTAGACTCTCCAAACTGGTTCTAGGATCACTATAGGACTTTCTTGGCTTGTAACGTAGGCTCAGGGTCAGGTGTGGTACATTTGGGTACTTTTTAGTGACTTTCTTCCCGCTTTGACATTACATTAGGCTTTCTACCTCTTTTTGCCCTATTTTTGACATCCTACCATTTTACCTTCTTTCCCTTGATTCTCTTCAACCATGGATGTGACTTTAGGCTTTTCAGATCTTTTTACTTTTCACTTTTATCTCTTTCTTGCGTTGTATTCTTTTTCTTTAGCTTTCAACAAGTCACATCCTTTCTTTTCTCTCTCTTTATTTTTTTTTTCACCTCACTCTTTTCATACCCATTTTTTTTTTCAGTTCTCTCTTTCATCGCCACCCTCAACTTATGGACTTTCCATTAGTTGAGGTACACAATACCCGATGTCGGGTCAGGGCCAAGATTTGAAGTTACTTTTTACATTAGCCACCCTCAACTTAGGATTTTGGCCTAAGTCGAGGTGCATATGTCCAAGGAGGGACCGGGGCCAACATAGTAGATTATGGGAAAGTGAGTGCAGGGTTTAGAGAA